TCTTTGCACAACTGTACTAACTGCATATTGTCAATACTGGATCGATGGAATGGCTGAAAGTTTTCAAGTGTGAAGTAAACTCCCACAAGCTTATGCTTTTTCCTTGCAGACCCCAGGGGGTTTACAATCTCAAACGCATCCTGATACAATATCAGTTTCATGACAATCTCACCTGCTTGTACAAACAGCTCATTGGATTTGTAGACGGATCCATCAGAAATGTCACTTAAGACACCATCAGAAACTAGCCTATTTTGTGACTCAGCACATTCCTGCCACACAACAGAATCTTTGAGAATAGATCTCAAAGTGTCAGACAAAGGTATGTATTGAGCATAACAGTCTCTTCTATTTTCATTTTTGCCCAGGTAGATTTTCTCTGGGTGCACATATCCTAAGTTTCTCTGAAAATATTGCCTTCTGGTGTATTCAGTAGACAGTAGAGAGCTACATGCCGCATGCAAGTCAGTTTCCTGAATATTCAGAACTAGTGAATCGATCTCTGCATCTGACATGTCAGAATTAGCCCTAAGTGTTTCTCTAATTTTGCTGTTTGTATACTGATGACAAATGTTACTTAAACCGTTGATCTCATCAACAATCAGTTGAATTGTTGACAACGGAACAAGATACTTTGCTTGGAGTTGCATGTAAAACAGGCACAGATTTCTAATGTACAAAGACTAGATGTCAACAGTTTCTGTAACCTGAGGCTGTTTCACTTTCGTCCATTGCACTTTCGGGTTCAATTTGCGAGGACTCAGTTGGCTCTGAGTATGTGAATCTGGTGTTTACATCAGTCTCATGCCTATGTGTGCGATGTAAATAATGACTCGAAATGCCTTGTTAGAGTTGTTGAACGGGCAATGTACTAGTTCATGCTTACTCAAATGGACCTTGAGATGTGCAAGAAGATCTCTCAGAGCTATGCATTGATTCTCAATTATCACACACAAATGTGCTTGGTACATTATCCAACTGTGAAACAGTGCTGTTGTGGGAACGATAGACATGAGCTTTTAAGGCAGTGTACTTGTTGAATTTTTGTATGCCATTGTAGTCCTCTAAGAAGCTCTTGACTACTCTACCCAGTGCATAAAACTAATTCAAAAGAAAATAACTCCTAAGAATACATTTTAAATTAACTTTAACTTTGGTTATTTTTAATTCTTCGGTAACAACTTCTGCTTTTTTTATTAAAAAACGCACCTTCTCTGTGATTGATAACAGATTTAAACACTCCTAATCCTTCAAGTGTTTTTGTACAGACACCGTGCAAACAAGTCTCAAGATGGCTGCACGTGTAAGAAATGTGCACGCTTTACCAAAGGCTGTAGTAGACAACCCATTCGGTCGTTGAGGGCAAGAAGAGAAGACCCGCTGTGTAACTGTAGCCTGGGGGAAGCAAACAGCAATGAATAAAAATGCAACAAAAAAACTTAGCACAAGAAGAAACCACTACTATAAAGTGAAATAAACCCCGTTGATGAACCAAAACCTGAGATGAACTACAGTTACAAACACTCTGTTCACAAGCTCAAAATGTTAGCTAAAAGTTAGCTCAAGTTAACTGACATTAGCTATATAAAATGACTGCCAATCAGCAGTTTACATTTCTACTATCAGTAAGGTTACAGTAGTAAATTAAGGTTCTTTGTCAGGGATTCGGGTAGCTCGGGCACGGGAGCGAGGCATCGTGCAGGCACAAAAAAGGGTGGACGACCCACTTGCGGCTCAAAGAAAAACAAACAGGGTTTATTAAATAAAACAGAAAAAAACTACAAAATCAAAAAGGACCACGAGGGGTCAAAAACTGAAGGGGACTAACCTCTCCATAGTCGAGCACCTGAATTAAATTATTAGTATGCCTGTGTAAGATGTATGTATGTATTTTCATGTCCTTTATTTTTAATAAAAGCCGTGTGCACATGTTTATTTAAAGCAGGAGGAATGGAGGAGGAATGCGTCACCGTGAGACAGCCGTGAGATGCATTTTTGTGCTCTGCCTTGGTAGGTTGCACAGAATGGTGCTGTGAATAAATTTACATTCATACATTCTACAAACAACACTGGAGTAATTAAATTAGGTGATGTAGCGACTAACCGCCATAGGTTTATGCCATTTTTTTTGTTTGTTTTTAACAGGCCCTCTGAATAAAGCTGCGGAGTGAGAGGTTGGACCAATCACTGACTCCTGTGCCCTTTATCTTCATATATATTTATGCTGACAGGTCATCTCCTTCTGTTCAGTTGGGACTGTGGAAATTCCTCTAGTATAGACGGACGGTCTCTTTGAACAGCTCGGTCAGTATTAATGATTTTTTTTGGCTACTGACAATACACAAAACCCCCTCTAACAACAGGGATATAGGTTCCATCATGTCAGAGTTCCTATTTAGGACTATGTATACATAGCCAGCTGTTTTTAAAAATGGATAAAGTGTCCTCATTCCATTTTTAAAGTAATTCTGGCCTCATCAATGTGCATTAACAGCCGAGGAAGGCTGTCAAGTGCAGAAGTTTCAAACAGATGCGATGTTGGGCAGTCAAAGACTGGAAAACATTCCAAGCAAAGGGGAAAACGTCATGTCACAATCCCAAAAGTCAACACGTAAAATAAGTGGCTTTTTATTGGTGTTATGGATGTGACAATCCACTTTGCATGTAATTGCCCAGATATTTAGGGTAAGTGAACTGTAGTTTGTGAGGGGTAGGCAACATCTCTGACGTACTCAAGTTGGCCTGACACATGTTTAGTTGTCTCACACACACTGTTTGTGTGTAGTGCTTCAATGATAATCATGTATGTTTTCTGTTTTTTGCTCTGTATTTAAACATTACGCTGTACTCGGTCATTTTTCCCTTCCCCTTGTCTGCAGGCTGTGTTGTGAGGACTGCTGGCCTGAGAAAAAAACAAGTTCTGAAAGTTTTGAGATTACAGGTAGGTACACACACACAAACACACGGGGCAAGATTTCCTCGGCGAGAAGCACGGCATGTGGCGGGTTTTTACCGTATGTCAAATGAAATGGATCAACAATCAACACTTTCAAATTGCGTATTTAAAATAAAAACGCCATAAAAACTGTGTTCTGTTATCAGAAAACCACAAAAAAAAAAACGCCGTTCAAACTGTGGATATGCCTTTTTTTAAAATATATTATTTGAAAGTGTCAATTTTTGATCCATTTGGTTTTGATCAATTTAGTAAAAACCTGCCAGGTACGACAGTCTAATTTGCTTTGGTATGAACTAAGTGTTTATCATGTATGTACTGTAGAGTCACATGTAACAAACATGCATATATATTTGTGTGTGACTCTGTAACTGTTAACTTTATTCCCCTCTCGTCTTTTTGTCTGATGTGAAGACTCCATCGTCTTCATCCATTTGACTGACCTCACTAACTGCTCTGAAGTCTTGAGGCAATAGCTGCTGCCTTTGACCTGTAAGTGTGTCTACTTGATTAAAATCTGTGTAGCAGCCTGATTCCATGTGAATTTTTAATTCCCTTCTACAATTGTAATTACATCTTGTAGATCAAGCATTGGGATAAGTTTCACGTGCCAGAAGGGGTAGACCTTCTAATCCTTTCATTTTGATTAAAGCTATGTACACATACAGAGGGGTACTTTAAAAATATATGTTTCTGCTTGATTGAATTTCAAAATAATTCTGTTCACAACTGGAGCCATGCACAACTGCAGGGAAAAAGAAAGTACACCTTTTAATTCTAGGGTTTTATGTGTCAGGACATAATAATCATCCGGTCCTTACCAGGTTCTAAAATTGTGCACAAAAAAACCACAACAAATTCCCCGGGTGTAAACTTTGAGGTTGAGGTGTGCCACTGCAACATTTTGATTTTCTTTTTCAGCCATTCTGTCGTAGATTTGCTGGTGTGCTTGGGATCATTGTCCTGTTGCATGACCCAATTTTGGCGAAGCTATAGCTGTCAGACCAAATAGGTCGCACTCTGGAGTCCTGCTTGGTTGCTACTTATCCTCTTAAATCCTATAGAACCAGCAATGTGTACTGAGTTTTTCATACTTCTTATCCAATTTGGCTTTTTGTTTAATAAATACCCGCTGCTGCTCCCGTGGCTCCTCCTCTGGCTTTGCCTGCGCCTGATGCCCCGGCCCAGTATCTGCCTGTCCCGGTCCCAGACAGTCCGACCACTGCTCCTTCCTTCTTGGAGTAGGAGGAGCTCGAGTGGGACCCCTCGGGGACCTCCCTTATGACTTCTTTACCCTCGCCCTGGCGATGGCAATCCTGGCTAGAGCCCCGCCTATCTGTGTCTCGCAAGGGGAGGGGACACAGGCGTAGGGCCGGGGTCCCGCCCGCCCTGCCCCCTGGTTCGCCCTCGCTTGCTTTGGCTGGGGCTTGTGGGGCACCTGCGCTTCCTGCGGCTCCGGGTCGGCGGTCGCCTGCGGGTCTCCCTCCGATGCCTTGTCGCCCGGCTTCAGTCCCACCTCCGACTCCTCATCGGTTGCCTGCGGGTCCCCCTGCTCCGGTGCGTCGGCAGACGGCACCTTTGCCAGCTGTGGTGGCACCTTTGCTTGCTGCGGCTTCCCCCTCCTCCTTGCCTTCGCTGGTGTCCCCTCCAACTCCCTCCTTGTCCCCTTCGTTTGTCCCTCGGCCTGTCTCCTTGCCCCCTGCATGGTCCCCTCCTGCTCCTCCCACCCTGTCACTTGCGGTCCCTCCGGCCACTGCCCTTCACCCGCCTTGGCTCCCTCGGGCTCCCCTTTGTCCTTCGTCCGATCCTGTCCGGCCTCCCTTGTCTGCTCCTCGTCCCTTCGTCCCTCCGGTTTCTGCTCCTCCTCCCTTTGTGGGTCCTTCGTTTGCTCCTGGTCCTTTTCTGATCGGTCTGTCGGCGTTTCCCGTTCTTTGTCGGGTCTTGTCCTACTTCCTGTCCCTGTGCCTGTTCTCCGTGTCGGTTTTGTTTCCGTTGCCCCGTTGACGGTCTTCCTTTTGTCTTCCAGGTCCTGCTCCCTCGTCTCGTCCGTCGCCCAGGGGAGGCGCCTTTGGGGGGGGGGGGGGTTCTGTTACGCCCAGCTCGTCCGATCCTCATGTGTGCCACGCCCCCCTCATTACCTCGTGTGGCTACCCGATTGTCATCAGCTGTTCCTTGTGCTTTCCTACCCGTCTGGGGTATTTAGTCTGCATCCCTATCTGTATTCCCTAGTTCTGTCATTGACGTTGTCCGACGTACTGCCTGGTCCTGTCCCTGCCTGCCCATCTGTAATCAATAAACCCTATTTGCCTGTCAGTCCGGCTCAGCTTGCCTGCTTTCCTCCTCGCCTGCACCACGGATCATAACACTCAGATTAACCTTTTTTTTTTAAAAAAAAAAAAAGTATTTATTTATTATTATTTATTAAAAAAATGTTTTGTTGTATTGTAATGTTTTTGTCTTCTTTCTCCGACCCCAGGCCTCACTGATGCGCCAAGTATCCAGTTGACTACTGCCAGTTTGGAAGAAGATAACTCTTTATGGGGTACAATGCACTGTTACCTTTCTCGGTTTCACTGTATGTTTGGTCAGGAGGGCTCGCAACATTATTTAAAGTGAAACTAAAAGTCTTGTCACTGCAAAATAAAAGCTAATAGGTTGGAAGCTTTTTGGCACACGCTACACCTCTGCACCAATGTCCCGAATTTGTATTGCATTTTGGAGGTCCAACTGACAGTGAGTTAAGATGACATTCATTAAACTTTGAATAATGATGCGGGAGGCATTTGCAGTGGAGCCCCAACCACTCCTTCACTTTGTGACTACCAGTTTAATAACTAAAAGTCTACATCATAATAAATGTAGGTTTAGGATTGTACTATAGGCCTAATTCTACAAAACTGAATCATAGCATTATATTTACTGCTGTAGGTGTACTTGTATTGCACTGTTAGTCCTTTATCAGTGTTATCTTCTAAAATAAGTGTTTGTCTTGAGATGATGTTAAAGCAAAACAACAGGTTTTTGATTTGCTCATTTGTAGTCAGCCCCAGAATTAGATGAGACTGCATATGCTTCTCTTCCGTCTTTTTGCAATGCCCAGTCTGACACCATTTGCATAGCATAATTCACTATAAATGGATGTCATCCCTTTTAGGTCCTAGGAGTTATAGGCTATTGCTGGTGGCATCCACTTCCAGTGAATTATGCTAAAATAGATTAACAGTATCAGACTTGGCATTGGAAGCACAGAGAAGAGTAGGGTAGAAGGTACACCCTCTTAACTAGCGGCGTAACGATATTACAAACCGAACCGAAATATCGCGATACACCAACCACGATACGTATCGCGAAACTCTCGTGGCGTACCGCGGTACTCTCACGCCCCCTGCTGCCCATTGTTGAGGTTGACGTCACTTGTCTCTAACTAATTTAACCAATTTAAACACATCTTTATTTTATCACATTTGATTAAATTGTATTAGTAATGATGAGCTTTTGTTCTAAATTTTGTTCTAAATATTATATTATAAAGTTAGTATTAGTATAAATTGTTTTTTTCTGACTAGTCTATATTGGAGGTATTTATTAATTTTTGTTGTTTACTCAGGTATCCTGACTATACTAAAAATGTGATGGCAAAGTTAATAAAGAAAAAGTTTAGTTGTTCTTGTTATTAAGTGAATCTATTGTTCCTTAGCATTGCTGTTAAGATGACATCAACCCTAACCCACAGCAAACAGAAACCGAACCGAACCGAGGCTCCAAAACCGTGAACCGAACCGAATCGAACCGAGGCTCCAAAACCGTGAACCGAACCGAATCGTGCCTTTGGTGTATCGTTACACCCCTACTCTTAACTAACTCTGAAGTAGACCAAGATAATTAGCTAATTTTCCAGAAAATTTATGTTTTCCCTTAACGCTTTCACTGATGACATTTGTTAGCATGAATTTAGCATAAAAATCTTTAAAATAATAATAGTTTACTTGTGTGTAATGCAGAGAATTGCTCTTTTAATTAAGGTGTTTGATAGTACACATCCAGAGGAAATCTGTAAACTGTAACTTGGGACAATTTCTGTACTTAATTTGAATTACAATCTTTTACTTAAAATTTAAAGTAAAGTTTTCTTTTTACATTGCTGCCATTCATTTTTACCATTTTTTAATATATATATATATATATATATATTCTTTATTGTAGGTGTTTGCTAATATATGTGTAAAAATAATCTGTAAAATAAATGTATTTTGCTGCTGAACCTCTGATGGGGTTATTTTATTGAAGACGTTAATTTTGAAAAATTTTTACATCAGTTCTCAGCTGAACTTGCAGTGCTGTCCGTTTATTGAAGGTGTTTTGTTGTAATAATTAATTTAGGAGAAATCTGTAAAATAACAGACTTTATCTGGGGAACTTTTAGAACTGTCCTTTTAATTAAGGTTTTTGATCATAATAATAAGCAAAAAAGCCTGTAAAATAACATTCTTTATCTGCTGAAATTTTATAATTGCTCTTTTAATGAATGTTTTTGATCATAATAACAAGGGGAAAAAACTGTAAAATAACATTCTTTATCTGCTGAAATTTTAGAATTGCTCTTTTAATTAAGGTTTTTGATCATATATAATAAGGGGGGGAAACTATAAAATAACAGAATTTGGGGTAATTTCTTAATGGGTAATTTCTGTAAATTTAATGTTTTTTCACTTCTTTTAAAATAAAATCTTTTACTTGAAATTTATGGTTTTTGTTTGGCAGCCCTTGCTGCCATTCATTTTACCGTTTTTTAATGTTTTTTTTTTTCTTTTCAGTGTAGGGCTGAACGATTTATCGATTTCAAATCGAATTCGCGATTTGAAATAACGCCATTAGCAATTCGCAAAGGCTGCGATTTAGGACATACATTATACAGCACGTCGGACCCAGGGTTTAAAACTGTTGTAAGAATAGTTTTCCAAACTCATACCCCGTGCTTCCTATGTGACAGTCGTTCTCACCAATCACAAGCGCCGTGCTCCTTATGTGACAGTCATGCTCACCAATCAGAAGTGGCCGGAGGCGACGGAGTACACGGCCACAAATAGCAAATACGTGAAGAATATGTTGCATTCGCGGTGCGGAAAAAAATACTGATTCCGCTACTGAGCTATAAGTGAATTGCCTTGCTATTTCATGGTCCGAGATTGTTTCAGAAAGGTCCTATCATCAATAGAACCGGCGACCTCCTTTTAAACACCAGCTGCGATATACTTCAGCGTATCACACCTTTTGTTTTTGTTAATGGGAAATCAAATTAGCATATAACCCATCAAAACAACAATGAGACGTCGGTAATCTCCACAGCAGCAGAGTCTGTGACCCCCAGAAATGCCGTAAAATCCATAATACACTCGTGTTTATGTCATATGTTTTTGTGCTCATTGATTTTCCATAGATTAGTCTTATGAAATTAATCTTAATACCACAACAGTAATAAAATGAAAGCCTCGCTTTAACACAAATACTAAAAGAACAGATCTCTTTAATCGTTATTACAGTTGGGTATGGGCGTGGTCTTTTTATTAAAAAAAGATACAAAAAAAAGTGACGCATATAATGTTTTCTCCGTTTTATATTTGTCAGAGCAACAAGGCAAAGGAATGATAAGCTGCTTCAGTCGAATCTTTGGTCAGCTGCCTGGAGTGAGGCTTTCTGTTTGAGTCGAGTATGCACATACATTTACGTGTATGTAAGAGTTTTATTACCATGTAAATAGTCTGTAGAGTTTGCAAACTGCCCTAACGTTTTTGATGCAGCTAAGTCTAAGTTCATAATGGAATAATTTAGATTTGCCATAAGATTTATTGCGTGAGAGTCTGAAAGCGTGTTACCCAAACCCGTGAGAGTTCTCAACCCTGAACACATACATTTTTTGTTTCCACTGAATTGATTTGTATAAAAAAATAACCTTATACAGTTGTTAAAAAGCGGAAACGTAGACCAACATGACCACCAATAAACTACGTATATTTATTCGACATTTTATAAAATGCATACTACGTTTGAGAATTTTCCAGCTTTACAGTTTCAGGACAGAACAGCCACTCTGTTATGAACATTGCAGCTTTTTGAGTGTTAGATTCGCTGCTGTTATTAACACTAATAACACATTAGCGCAAACAAAACGGCTGCATACACCGAAGTAGTTCTTGCTTGTTCACTGGCGTGGGAAAGGTGGTTCAAGTGTTATTAAGGGGGTAATCAGCGTTACCTGCAAGATCGCTATTGTTTTTCTTTTTGCTGCATTTGTTCATTATTACATTATTTAACTTAACACACCACATCTTTAAATTCTCATCCTTGCATTAGACTATAGACCAGTTAATATTTTGATTATATCTCATATGGTAATGCTGCATCATATGTTTTAAATTTACTACACACTGAATATTCAACTGAAGCATGTCATAAGAAATTATATCGCAAATCAAATCGTAATCGCAATGTCTGTCAGAAAAATCGTGATTCGATATTTTCCCAAAATCGTTCAGTCCTAGTGTAGACAGTTATGTGTGCACCCATGACAGAGGGTCCCGTACAGTGTCTTGCCTGCCTGGTGCCCAGTTGGGGGACCTTCTGAATCATGTGCACAGGCTTTTGGCCCCAGCCGGGGTGGATCCAGTGGTCATGGTACCAACGACATAGGAAAGGACAGGAGGGCTGTTCTGCAGGATAAATTTATAGGTCGCAGATAAGCTTAGAAGCAGAACGTCCATGATGGTGTTCTCTGGAATACTTCCTGTGCCACATGCAAGCCAGGATAAGTTAGCTGAGATAAGGAGATTAAATGCGTGGCTAAAAGGATGGTGTAGGAAAGAGGGGTTTAGGTTTATGGGGCACTGGAGGACCTTCTGGAACAGGTGGGACCTGTTCAAGCTGGACGGGTTGCATCTGAACCAGAGGGGAAGCAGTGTATTCGGGAGGCGTATGTGTAGAGTAGTTGAGGAATGTTTAAACTAGGGACTGAGGGGGGCAGGGTGATTAGTGAAGAATATAGGTGGGGGGAGACGGAAAGCCCAAATTAATATTAAAAGTGGACACTGTAAAAGGCCTACCCTTTGCGGTCTGTATTTAAATGCTAGGAGTATTAGAAACAAAATTCATGATTTAGAGGCTTTAATTTAATCTAGTTTTCTTTAATAACCAGTATAGGACTGGAAAATTAGAGGTTTTAGAACCACTGCATGGTAGTGATGATAACATTGTTAAATTTGAGGTGTTTTAAGATGTGAGGGGGATATAGGGCTTTCGAAGGAACAAACAGGTACACTTGGGTTTGCTTCTAAAAACGCTTTATTACAAGTAATACTAAATAACCTTGCATTAAAATCAATACCAAAATATTGGATCAAAAGCAATGCAAAATAATTCCATATCACAAGTGATATCCAATAGTATTATAAATCATAAACAATAATCAAACTGCCAATACAACTATATATATATATATATATATATATATATATATATATAATAACTCACCTAAAGGATTATTAGGAACACCATACTAATACGGTGTTTGACCCCCTTTCGCCTTCAGAACTGCCTTAATTTTACATGGCATTGATTCAACAAGGTGCTGAAAGCATTCTTTAGAAATGTTGGCCCATATTGATAGGATAGCATCTTGCAGTTGATGGAGATTTGTGGGATGCACATCCAGGGCACGAAGCTCCCGTTCCACCACATCCCAAAGATGCTCTATTGGGTTGAGATCTGGTTTTCTGACCTCTCAGGAAAAAAAAGTAAGCATCCTTGAACAGGGGTAGCATCTCATAAATCAGAAATAATAAGACAAGTGTCCTTGAACAGAATAAGTATCCCAGGACAAGAATTTTTCAGACAAGATAAGCTGACTCTTATGAGAAACAAGTTATACAGTTCAACCTTGGCACAATAATATTATGAGTGAATCATGGATGATATGGACGTTGTATCTGAATTTCAGGATGATTAGTCCACACACGGTCAGAATCAATCCACATCTGAATCACCTCATATGTATGTCTGCTAGGTGGAGTTGGAGTAGTGAAGTCGGACAATTACTACCTCCCAAATCATCACAGTGACAGGGAGACATTCAACATATTTCTTTAATTCTATGCTACGGGGGCGACGTGGCAAGTTGCGGGGCCACCTGTAAGTTCGTCTTAATACATGAGTTTAATTTTAGTATCCGAAGAACAAAGTCCAAAACAAAAATATATTATATTAGGAAGGCTAACTTTAATGGTATGAGGCTGAAACTTGAAACTGTAAGCTGGATGGAGTTAAATAGCAAAACAGTTGAAGAGGCATGGGAATTTTTTAAAAGCAAGAGGACTTCATACCTGTTTCCAGCAAAACTAAATCTAAGAAACTGCAACCAATTTGGTTTACTACGGAAATTAAGAATAAAGTCAGGAGGAAAAGGGCTCTCTTCCACAAATGGAAAATAACTAATGATTTCAAAATAAAGCAGGAGTATCTAAGTCTACAGGTTGAGCTAAAAATAACATTAGACTCGCTAAGAGGAATGTAGAAACGAAGATTGCATTGGAGGCTAAGGATTACATTAAAAGTTTCTTCCAATATTTTAACTCCTAAAGAGCTCTAAAAGCTGAAATCACTCATTTGCAGGATAGTAAGGGCCTTATAATTGAAAATGAAATTGATATAGTAAATGAGTTTAATTATTATTTTACATGGGTGTTCACAGTAGAGAACATGAGTAACTTACCACCATTAAGTACAGATATAGTGTCGTCTATGACCAATATGTATAACTGAGGCTGATGTGGTATAAAGCCTAGCTAAGGTCAAAATAAATAAATCGCAGGGCCCTGATGGCATCTTACCTATAGTTTTAAGAGATGAGGGATATTATTAGCCAACCTTTAACTTTACTATATCAGAAATCCTTATCTGGTGGTGTGGTACCTTCTGATTGGAAGCATGCTAATATAACACCCATATTCAAAAAAGTGGATAGAAGTAATCCTGCAAATTATAGGCCCATCAGTTTAACTTACATAACTGTAAAAGTAATGGAAGCTATAATCCAAGTGAAAATGGTAGATTACCTGGATTCAAATAACATTCTGAGGGATTGCCAACATGGATATAGGAGAGGTAGAACCTGTTTAACTAATCTGCTTGAGATGTAAGGTAATCCATGCAGGGAGCATAAATATAAAGTACAGATATTTTATGGGTTCCACTGAACTAAAGGTAGCTGATTATGAGAGAGACCTCAGTGTGTATGTTGATGGTTCCATGTCCCACTCTCGCCAGTGTGGGGAAGCAATTAAAAAGGCCAATAAGATGCTGGGTTACATGTCTAGGGGTGTGGAGTTTAAGTGAAAGGAGGTGATGCTATGAGGGAATACAATTCCTTGATAAGACCCTACCTAGAATATTGTGTGCAGGTTTGGTCACCATACCTTAAGAAGGACATTGCTGCCTTGGAAAGGGTACAATGTAGGGCTACAAGAATGATTCCTGGTCTTAGAGGAATGTCCTATGAGGAGAGGTTAGCTAAGCTCAATCTGTTTAGCCTCGAGCAAAAGAGACTAAAGGGGGACATGATCCAGGTATATAAGATTCTAACAGGTCTGGATGCTGTTCAGGCAAATGCCTACTTCAATATTAGTTTAAATAATAGAACTCCTGGCCATAAGTGGAAATCAGCAGGAGAACATTTTAAAATGAATTTGAGACCATTGTGCCATTAATTGCAACAATGTCATTTTATTTTTTGGAGGTATGTTTTACAAAGCCAGAATGTTCAGCTGTTAAGTAAAATGGTTTTGTGTCATATCTGTGATTTGTGTTTTGGACTACAAAGTAAAACAACTGACTGAACATCCTCGCAAGTCACACTTAAAATGTGTCAAGAGTTTGGGAGAAATAAGCCTTTCACACACTTCCGCATTTTTCACAGGACTTCCTGTTATCTTAGCGGCAGATTTGAATATGGCAGAGTCTAGGAATCTGAGTTTTCGCAGTGTCCCAGGCTGTTCTTGCTGTGCACAGAAACACCCCTACCTCTCTTTTCATTCATTCCCGACTGACACGCACACAAGGAAGAAATGGATGTAGGCAATAAGGAGAGAGGAAGGGTCGAATTTTATCATCAGAAAAGGCAGCACTTATGTCTGCAGCAGACACTTCACCCCTGAAGATTACATCGGAGAACTCACCGTCAGTCACCTAAAAAATAGAGTTGTCCCCAGCCTTTTCCATTGGAACAATTTCACAGCATCACTTAAAAGGGAGTCGGTGTATGAGAAGATGAATAAACGTCAATCAGTGTCCTTTTTGCCCGACGGAGATAGCGATACAGCGGCTAAGGCTGTGAAGCTGGATCACAACTATGTGACACACCCACCTACAGGTAAGATAGTAAAGGTTATGTATAGTAATATTAATCAATGGATAATGCCTTCCTCACTTAACAACTTCTTAATATAACCTAAAAGCTAAAAGCTAGTAGTACATTAATAACTCAGAAACATAGCCCGTTCTTGTAACAATTAAGCTGCTGTTGTTTTCAACTGTGGGAGACATGCTGGGAGTAAAATTCTATATACATTCATGTTGCTACAGTAAAGAGTTTTTTGCATATAATTACTGTTCTGTGGTGTGTTGAGAGGTAGTTTAAATATGTCAAGACTATTCATGATATTTAATTTCTTTATCATTGCAGGTGTTCTGGATGAGGCTCTGGATTACATCCAAGACTTGGAAACCAGGTTGATTAAAGTATTCCTACCATCTCCTGCCCTCTTCAGACGGTATTGTGCATCAGATGAACAGATCAGATTCTACACGAAATTTCCATCTGGGAGTTTGTTTAGAATCTTTTGGAAGTCCATTGCACCATCTGCCTCTCGACTGGTGTACTGGACCAAAGCGAAGAGGGTAGGTGAGGAAGCCTGCGTAGAACCCAGCCCAGCTCGCAGCATGCCATTAATTAATAGATGAGATCCTCATGTACTCTATGCGGGTTCCTGTTAGCATGAAGGAGCAACTCATTGCTGACATGTTTAATGTGAGCATCGCCACAGACAGCAGAGTGACCATCACCTGGGCCAATTATCTTTTCATCATGCTATCATGCATTCCTATCTGGATAGCAGGGAAAAGGTCAAGTCCACTATGCCCCTTAAATTCCAGAGATACTGTCCTTTTTTTTAAAATTATTTTTATTTTTTTTATTTTTTTTTATTCCCTCCTCCACCCCCCCTCTGCGGGGGACTGTATCTATTTATTTATTTATTAATTTTTTAATTTTTTTTTAAATTATTATTTATTTATTTATTTTTTATTTTATTTTATATTTTTATTTACTTCCTCAAAAGAAGGAGAGGGAGGGGGGGGACAAAGGAGAAGGAGGGAAGAGAGAGAGAGGGAGAGAGAGGAATGGAAAGAAAACAGAAAAAAAACAAAAGAAAAAAAAAAATCCAGAGATACTGTCCTAATGTTAGGGTCATACTGGACTGCACAGAGATCGCCCTGGAGACACCCTCAACCCTTACCTTACAGTCAGAAACATTCTCACATTACAAGAACAGGACAACATTGAAAGGGCTGATTGGAGTTGCTCCCAATGGGTTGATAACATTCATCTCACCCCTGTATACTGTCTGCATCTCTGATAAGGAGATCACAAGAATCAGTGGAGTCCTTCCCTTGCTGGAACCTGGAGACGATGTTATGGTTGATAAAGGATTCCTTATCCAAGATTTCCTTGCTGATGGTGGAGCTAAGCTGATCATTCCACCTTTCAAGCACTCAGGTCAATTTAGCAAAGAGGACACTGAACACACCCAAGCCATTGCCCGCCTAAGAATTATAGTGGAGCGGGTAATAGCTAGAGTGAAATCCTTTCATATCTTTGACTGCCCCATGCCACTCACACTGATTGGAACTGTGAATCAGATCTGGCTAAACTGCTGTGTTCTTACAAATTATCAAGGACCTTATTGTTTAGAATAATGAAATATGAAATAAATTACTGTCATACATATACTGTACATACATACATACATTTTATATATATATATATATATATATATATATACACTGAACAAAAATATAAACGCAACACTCTTGTTTTTGCTCCCATTTTTCATGAGCTGAACTCAAACATAGGAAAATTTTTCTACTTACACAAAAGACCCATTTCTCTCAAATATTGTTCACAAATCTGTCTAAATCTGTGTTAGTGAGCCCTTATCCCTTGGCCTTTGGGGGGGGGGTTCT